TTAAAAAACTCACAAGAGGTGCTTGGAAAAGTGCATTTTAAACATTCATATTTGGGAAACTTCTTAATAAAAAAAAGGGTTTTATGATTACCTTTTAGGATGTTGTTGCCTTAATTTTTGTATTTTTTGTAGACAGGCAGGCAAAGGTCACAAGGTTGGGACTCAAACCTTTTTTTCAAATTCTTTTCACAAATTTTGTATTTAAAATTTTTTTATTTTCATTACCATATTCAGTTTTATAAATTTCATAATTCTCAAATAGCTTTTTTTCAAATCACATACTTCTGGGGTTGGGTTTTCCTCTGGAAGGAGGCGCAAAAATGCATTCTGTTGGTCCACTGGATGTTAGCAACAACATTTTATAGGTCAAAAGCGAATGATTGTATGAGGATGTAAATGAAGAGAATGGGTTGGTAGAATAAATGATATATATCTGTAAAGAACTTTAAAAGATTTAGCTTGAAAAAACATAATTTGAAAAACCTTTTCAACAAAATAATTGTTTAAGAAAAATAAAATCTGAGATAAAAAAAAAGCAGTCACTCTGAAATCCTTTTTTCTATTAAGAAGGTCTTCAGAGTCTCCTTTCTAGACTGCCTATTTTTAAAATCCCATTTACAAAATGTGTGATTTGCTTTAAAAGTGGAACAAAATTCACTCCATACTAGGAAGCAACAAAGAACCTAACTGTACAGTAAACGTATCACGCAACATTAGAGAACATAAATGTAATTAGCTTATTATCTTATCACTGCTGTAAAAGCCTGAATACAGATTTAACACAATTCGACCTAACGTTTTTCTTGTATTCGCTGTTTCCATACAAGCTAGCTTAAGCCCAGTAGCGCTGCTAGCTTCAGCTTAAAGAGTTGAGAAGCCCGTTGGTTTTATGTTGAGGAGTCTGTTGCTTTTATGTTTTACTGCGTACAGTAGCATTAGTTTTCTGGTGTAAACAACATTTTACATGTAGGGCAAAATGTTCAAATCTTTTCCATGCACGGCTTGGAAATTCAAACTTTCTATGGCGTACTCTCAGGCCTACTTTCAATGCTTTATTTCTGCAGCTCCGCTAGTCGCCATGAATCCTTTTAAAAAACCTCTTTGAATGCTCTCATTGAAGCCTATGTTAAAAATGAATGATTGTCCTATTATAAATCATTTTTTATATTACTTCCTAGGGATTGATTCATATAACCAAAGATAAAGTCAGGATTCTTGCTAGCATTTTTTAGCGTAGCGGGCTGCTAAACTGACAGTATTAAATACTGACATCTAGTCTTCCTCTGTAGGGTTGTGTCCAGCTCATTTTCAGCTCAACCGCTGGTTATACTAAAAGTTGTCCAAATTAAACTCTAATTACAGAGATATTGCTTTTAGAAACATTTTCTGCCTTATTTGCATATAAATTATGGAAAAGCAGTGGAACTTTGCACCCTTTACTCTTTCATCAAAGCTCGAAAAGAATAGGAATGGACATATTTTGCAAGGAGCCAAATAAGAACAAAGACATGGCACAGACTGTAGAATAAATAGTTTAGCCATCATTACACTCAAAAGAAATCCTGGCATTTAGGGCAAAAAAAGCATTTTACCCTTTAAAGTTGCCATTAACGAGCAATGCTTTATCAATTGGTTTATGAATGATTCTAGTAACAACACGCTGCCTGACTACACAGTTTTTAATTTTTGTAACAGCAAAAACAATGTTTTTAGTACCAATAATTCATTGTGAGATTAAAAAAAATTGAAAAAACAGGCTTTAGAATTTAACAAAGCGTTAGAACTGAAATTTATTCAATTCTTTAACTTTTAATGGATGCCTAGTCCTAGTGTCAATGTCCTCCTGGTCAGCTTAGCCCCTTGAGCCCTGAGGGTCTTAGGAGCAAATGTTGCCTGAAATTAGATATGTGGATTGAAGAAAGTACAGCTCCCAAACTATTTATTGGAAATACAATTGTTTGTATTTGTTTGACAGAAAGGTATTGAGGAATATTTTTCAGGTGGAACCGCTATTTTAAATGTCACCATGTCTGATTTATGGGTGATTAAACAAAGACAAAATGAAAAATATTTAGCCTCACCAAATTTCTTTCCAGAAAATAAAAACTGCAAAACACTGTGGATGAACCCTCACACTTTACAGATCAACATCTTGAATATAAGTCAAGCAAATTTGGACTGAATAAGTTGAAGCGTGTTTGTTCTACAATGGTTTTCATTGGGCAGTGTGCTAGGCGAAAATGGGATTTTCGCACAATGCCAAAAGTGCAAAAGGGCATTTTTCTGCTCTTTAAAGGGAATCTGGTCAGACAAATATGCTGATTTACGTTATTGGAGACCTGCTGTATAAGACAAAGCCTTTGCTCCTACGATTTAGCCATTGTTTCATTGAAATTTAACACTAATATCATTAAACTTAATAAAATAAGATAACAGGGCAAGCTTATGTAACTCATGCCGGTTACATCACCTGAAATGGTTGCATAATTATCTCCAATGCGTCGTTGGAAAGGTCTGAGCCTCTAGTTTCCAATGATCCTGGTCATTAGGGGGTGTGGCTAAAAATGAATACCTGCTGTTGCATTATTCCCGCAGAGTCACATATGCCAGGTGGAATTTTAAATCTCATTTTATTTGTTTACACAGCTATAAAACAAAAAGTATTTCTGAAAAAGTTCTTTTAAAAACATGTTTTAGAAATTATAAAGCCCCATTTGAAAGGCATGTGGATGAAACACCATGTGACTGTGTTTTTTGCCATTTCTATAAGTAGATAAACATGTGTAGCCATAACGGTCTTGGTTCTGTTGGTTTTCTCTTACGTTTTCAGTTTCAAGTTTATCTAGGTGTTTTTTTGTTTTCTAGCTTTATTGGTGTATTCTGAATTTATTTAAGTTTCTTAGGTTTTTCATTGCTTGTCGTCTGTTGCCCCCTTGTGTTTTCTTTTCCTTTGGGTTCCTCGCCAGCTCTACTAACACCTGCTCCTTATCAGCTCGTTAGTCCTGTCTTTGTTCAGTCAGCCATAAATACACTCCCTCTGCAGTCTCTCAGTGCTGGTTCATCATCTTACTTTGTCTCACCCTGGCTCCTTGTGATTGTTTCCCCATGATGTCTCTATGGTTCTGGTTTGTGTTTAATTTTTATGTTGGATTTCTGGATTCCTGTTTTTGCTACCTGTGTTATCCAATTAAATCTTTAAAGAACTCACCCCTTCCTCTCAGCCTCTGCATTTGGGTCCTCACAAAAACCTTCAACCAAATTTTGACAGTATAGGTGTCAGTTGGACCCTGTACCGGGCCCGCCTGGCTTAAGGGGTTAAGGTAAACGGCCTTCTCTTGGTATTTGAATAATTGGTCAATGTTCAGTTTTGTGAGTTATGTGAGGTTGTTGGATTTAAGCTGACTGGCGCCTTCTCATTAGATTTTGTTTATTGCATTTCAGGGGTATCAGAATAAAGGGGTATATCTGTACACTATAAAACACACTTTTGACAACAATAACACTGTGAAGAACTTTTTTCAGTCACTCTTTCTGTATGAAAGAGGATTAGGGCCAATGAAAAAATGAAGTTAACTGATTTATAAATATTATTTTAGTTTAATATGGGGGGGAAAAGTCAGAATTCTGACTTTTTCTTTTGAAAATGATGGAATTAGGTAACTTTACGTGCCCAAGGGGTCGTTGGTGCTGCCATTTCCTTAATGGAAAAGAAGAAGGTGATTAAAACAAGAGAGCTAGTTTAGTCTCTAAAACAGACATGGCTACGGCTTGATGCTAACTTTGAGATTAGTCAGAATTCAGCCAGAATTCTGAGACTAAAGTCAGAATGTTGAGAAAAAAAAGTCAGAATTTAAAGAAACAAGTCAGAATTTAAAGAAAAAAGTCAGAATTTTGAGTTTAAAGTCAGAATTCTGAGACTTACTGGTAAGTCAGAATGTTGAGAAAAAAGTCAGAATGTTGAAAAAAAATTCTGAATTTTTAGAAAAAAGTCTGAATTTTTAGAAAAAATTCAGAATTCTGTGGAAAAAGTCAGAATTCTGTGAAAAAAGTCAGAATTCTGAGATTAAGGTCAGAATTCTGAGATTAATATTTACCATACATATAACATTAAAATAACATTCATGCTGAATGTTATGTAAAGTGGGGTATTTTATTGTATTTTATTATATTTTTAGTATATTTTATTATAAAAAACTGAAATGTTAGAACTAGTGTTGCGCCGATGCCATTTTTTGGCCCCGAAACCCGATACCTGGCTGTGCAGTATCGGCCGATACCGATACCACCATTTTAGGGCTGTATCGGGGCCCCGTCCGATACTGGTATCGGTATCGGTGCAACAGTTAGAACTGTAAATATACAGTAATATGTTTGTATTACCGTTTTTATGTATTTTTTAAACTGTTTTCAAGACTGCACACATTGCCTAGAGAGCATTTCTTAACAAAATTTCTTTTTGTTTATACTTTTGTATACAAAATGACAAAATAAATCTGTCAAAGTCTAAGAATTCTGACTTTTTTCTCATATTATACTGAAATACAATTAAAATTCATTTAACTTGTTTTATTTTTTTTCAGTGGCCCTAATCCTCTTCCATACTACAACAGACCTGACCTGGTGAAAAAAACAGGGATTTAGATAATAATTGCATTTAAAGTATTGCCATTTTTCCGCTTTAGTGAGCTTTGCTGGGAAAACACGGGTATCACAGCCAATTACATCACGGAGCGGTGAGAGCAGGCATTTCTGCACGCTGCAAAAAACATCCACCTCTTCCTCCTTTTAAAAAGCGAGCATCATATGTATGCATGCTAATCCCAGCGTTATATCCTCTAATTTGTATTTTTTTCATGATTTAAAAAAAAGAAATATTTGGAATCGGTTCCCTAAATGTGAAAGTAACTCGACAGATTGAGGCAAGGCTTTTTTTTTTTGCAGCGCAGAGCTCCGTCGGTGCGCAGGCTGCCTCCACATCACCCATTTGGGTAGAGGAGCAGCATGAGATCAGACTCCCAGTACCTGACAGAGAGCAGAAATGAAGTGTTGGACGGAGGACTAACTGGAGCCAGCTTTGCTTTTTAATGGGGATGATGGGGAAGCTGGTGGGGATGAATAACCCTGCAGCGTTTTTCTGCAAAACACCACAACTTTCAATCTTTTTTTCTTGCTTTTCCTCATCTTTTTCCCACTCTGCGTGTGTTTGAAGCGCAACAGCATGCAGGTCTCCCCGAGTGAGGACAAGATCCCGGTAAGTAACCCCCCCAAATCCCCTTTGTTTTTGTTTACTCTTCTTAAAAAAAAATAAAATAAAAAATGCATCTTCATAACCACAGGGAGTCAAACAAATAATGTTTAGTCATAAAAGTATTTAAAAATCCAGAACTTCTTCTGTTATGGATTTTTGTTAGTCATGACTTTCTTTAAAATCTGACTTTTAAAATGTCAGCATGGGTGTCTATGTGTAACTGCAATAAAAAGTAAAAACAACAAAAACACAACATACTGCACTGAAATCAAACAAAGAAATCTGAGAGATGGTCTGATGCAAAAGTATGGAGTAAACTTTGTGCCATTATTGTTATTAACTTTTCAATCTACATTCCAGAAATGAAGCTTTACATTTTTTTTATTCAAAAATTTGAATTTATTATGTTTTAACTTTTAAAACATGTAATGGTTTTACAAAAATATATATATATTTTTAAATTACATTTTTGAGAATTTATATTTATATTTTATCATTTCAAATTTCTCTTTATCAGATTGATTACATTCTTTTCAAATTGCATTCTCTTCACTTTGAGACCATTGCAAAAACTCTCTCTTTACCAATAAAATGTTGTTTACATCCATTCAGACCACTTGCTTCTTCACTCCAGAGGAAAACTGTCACTAGAAGTGAAGAGAATCTTCTCTGTAAAATATAATCTGGAAAAGAGAAGTTTGAAGAATAATATTTAACAATATAAAATCTTTAATAAAAAGAATTAAAATAAAATTAGAAAAAAGTAGATTAGAGGAAACATCAAAGTCGATTAAGTAAAAAAAAATTGAATACCCTTTAAAAGAAAAAATCTTAATTAAAAAATTTGTTCTTTGATTAAAACAGTAATGGAATAAAATACACTCCATATAATTGTTGGGTTCTCGTGTTGAGATGTTGTTACACAAATATGAATATCTGCAGCAAGTACACATTTTCAATCTAGTTTGTTTTTTCATAAATGATTAGATATAATGTACTTTTTTTATTTGTTTGTTATGATATTGTGTTGTATAAAATAAGGAGAACTTTCAGGCTAATCTGAGCTGAGCAAATTGGGCATTAGCAAAGTAAAAAGTAGTGAAATCAGTACGGGAAAGACAGCAGAATGGAAGAATCCAACAGTGAGCAATGATAACCAGGGAGCCTCTTTACTGAGGGAAGAGTGGAGAATGACACTAACAGTAGTTGAGTTAACCAGTGGACAAGGTGGAACAGCTGAGGCAGGATGAAAGTAGGAAGACTAAGGGGTGGTGCTTAATTAATAGGACTGGAGCTAAACATACACAGAAAGAACCCATTAAAACAAGAGGGCAAGATATAGAAATAGAATAATAGATAATAGAAATAGATCCAAATGTAAAAAGAAAATATTACAAGAATAAACTATTAAACTAAAAACAAAGGAATTTATTGATATGGCAACATATAGAATAAATAAATTAAAAGGCCTGCACTGGATGTGAAGAGATAATTTCAAATACTAGTAAAATTGAAGAAAAGTAGATTATATAAACACACAAAAAACAAAAGAGAAATTCTTGAAGAGAAATAAAAGTCAACAATGTTTCCTGATAGGTGCTGAATTATATTTATATTATTAATATTGTTAAAGCCTCAGAACCATTTTTTCATGCCTACATTAACAGAATAAACACTACAGAGATGCTAGAGCTGACTGCTAAGGCCAATTAGAGGTTGACTGTTAATGGGTTAGCTTAATTGCTATATAAATTGGTCTGAAAAGTCATAATGCTCACTTTCCTACCGTAGTCAAGCAAAGCAGGTTGCTGATATTTTTCAAATCTTTATTTAACAACTTTATTAAGCAAATAGAACAGTTACCCAATGTTAGCATCGTAGGCTCTTAGTAACCTTTCTCTTTACTCTTTAGATTGTAAATATTCTCACATGTCAATACAATTGAATCTTTGGATTCAATGGTATTTGAAGGTTTAAACAAAGAGAAAAAAGTATGGGAGCTTTTTGCATTCTGGTTAGCTTAGCGGTTATCACCGAAGCGCCTTGTTTCGTCTCTGTAGTTCGTCATTGCTTTATTTTTTTAATTATTAAACCTTTTGTAATTTGTACGACGGAGCAGTAGAGCCAGGCTAGGGATTTTTTTTATTTTATTTTGAGAATAAAGTCGTAACTTTACGAAAATAAAATTGTAATATTACGAGAATTAAGTCGTAACATTACGAGAATAGAGTTGTAATATTACGAGGATAAAGTCGTAACATTAGGAGAATAGAGTTGTAATATTACGAGAATAAAGTCATAACATTACGAGAATAGAGCTGTACAATTAGGAGAATAAAGTTGTAATATTATGAGGATAAAGTCAACATTACGAGAATAAAGTCATAACATTACGAGAATAGAGTCATAACATTACGAGAATAAAGTCGTGACATTAGGAGAATAGAGTTGTAATATTACGAGAATAAAGTCGTAACATTATGAGAATAAAGTCGTAATATTACGAGAATAAAGTTGTAATATTACGAGAATGAAGTCATCATACAACAACAAGAGTTGTCATAAAATGTAACTTGTTTCTCTTAATTTTAGGACTTTATTTTCTTAATATTATGACTTTATTCTCGTAATTTTACGACTTTATGCTTGCAATTTTACGACTTTTTTCTTGTAATTTTACGTCGAAATAGAAAGAAAAAAAAATCTCTAGCCTGGCCCTAATTCTCCGTCGTATAATTTGAGATACCTGCCACACCTTAAAATATGTCGAAAAACACAAACATCCACCCTACTGTATGTTTCCTCCTTTTTAACTATTTTCAGAAGAACTGGACGCATCATAGCAGAGTGTCCACTCTGCAGCAGCAACAATTTTGTTACAACCTAAAACAAATCTGATGAATGACATAGAAATAACCATCTTTAAACCTCAGTGGTTAAATTTAGAATAAATCAGTTACCGATTTTCTATTAAAAAAGTGGACATAATTTTTGTTACCTCATATTATTCATGTTAATATAAATGATAATACTAGTGACCAATTCCATGTTTACTATGGATTATTTGCTACTTCAACATAAGACATAATAAAACAAAGTCCTGCTTAGAATCCTAATAGGAATTTAACCAACCTTTAGAGACTTCCCACCCCCCTAGAGGGCTCCTTAAGCTTTGGCAAGGACAAACATCTGTGCATCATAAGCTTTCTTGGTAACAGCTAGATCAGCCCAAATGAGACTATTCTCAGAACTCTACTTTCCATATTTCCAAAAAGAAGAAAGAAAAAAAAGACGTTAAACAAACAAAGGTCCTTTGGGAAAGTTCCAGGAGCTCAATTAAGAGGGGAGCATGTGTCCTGCAGAGAAGGCAGTTTCTGGCTCAGTGGCAATAGCTGATTAATATGAGGAAATGTTATATTTAAAATATATAAAGCCTTTTAAGTTGAATATTTCCGACTTGATAGATTTTTTATTAATAATACAATATTTTTTTCCAGATTTTTTTATTGTCATTACACTGTCAGAGGTAAAGAGCAATGAAATGAACTCTCAACATTTAACCAATCTCAATGGCCATGGCCTGCCGTTGTGCGATGCCTGAAGAACAGTGTGGGAACTTTGCTCAGAGACCCAGAGTGCCAGTCTGTGGGAGTGGGGCTCGAACTCAAAACCTCAGGATTCCAAGCTCTATGCCCTAACCACTAGGCCGCCACTCCCCCACCACCATTTTGAAAATGTTCTTTCATGATGGCCTAGTAGTACTCGTAGCAGGCGACCTTCAACCCCATCTGTTAACATGAATCAGTTTAATTTAGCAATTTCTTATTCTAATACATACCATACTGTTTCATATGTTTAGGAAGATTTGTTATGTTATGTCAACTTTTTAGGTGAAAAGCATATTAAGAAATTTAAGAATTTTGTTGGATGTTCATGAAGGACCTTCATTATAGATATTAAATGTGCCACCTATTTTAATGGAAAGTGTAAATTGGTATATCAGGAAAGAGAAAAAAAAACATATATTATTTCTCTTTTTCTATACTTAAGGCCGGCCCCAACATCTTGAGCTCAGCTTTATTGCCCCTCAACATAAGCAGTTTATGAGTACTTCCAGGTGGGCAGATAATAATCTCCATTACGCAGATGACAATATCAAGTTTGTTGAGGTGTTGATCACTTTAAGCATTTAGCATGCCGAGTTGAGTTAATATTTTTCAAGGTAACAATAACTTTAAGCACTTAGCATGCCAAATTGAGTTAATATTTCTCAAGTTGTTAAACACTAAGCACTTGCCGTGTCAATTTGATTTAAAAAATATCAAAGCGTGGATCACTTTAGGTATTTGCCCTTCAGTATACGGTATACTGTTTATAAGTACCTCCAGGTGGACAGATAATAATAAAAAATTATTACATAGATGTAAATAACAACTTCATTGAGGTGTCAATCATTTAGGCATTTGGCATGCTGAGTTGAGTTATATTTATAAAATTATAGATCACTTTAAGTATTTGGCATGCTGAGTTGAGTTAATATTTTTCAAGGTACAATCAATTTAGACGTTTGGCAAGTCAAGCTGAGTTAATATTTATCAAGTTGTCGAT